CGTTTTCCTGTTTATCTTCTGTTAATAAATCCAGAACACAAACAGCTTTTCTGACATTATTTAAAACATTAGATAGATTATATAAACTGTAAAATATTAATAATAATTGTGTTAATATTATTATTAATAGTTTTTATGATTTCTACATCGTTAGTCCTGTCAACATGTACAGTGATGATAAATCCAGAGTCTGGACCGTTTAGCGTTAGCCGTTAGCTTCTCCAGCCGATCACATGGTCTTTACACACTCCAGCTCTATAGGACCTCCTTGGGGCGAGCCCACCAGGGACGTACTGTGGGATAATGTCCCACTTCCTGCTGCTGTCAGGCTGTGGAAAACATTTGGAGATGATTGTTTTTTATGTTTTAATAATAAGGTTATTTTGAATTTTATAGCAGCAACACGTCTCAAAGAACATAAAAATAACGGTTGTGAATAAGAAACAAAGGCAGGAGCATTTTGTAACTAATTAGTTTAATTATCAAGATGAGCTTCACTTGTCTGAAATTCACCGAATGTTTTCAGAATTAACAGATGATTTATCTCCAGATCTGCAGATTATTATAATCTGAGGCTGGAAGTCAGGATTAGATGTTTGTGATCTTCACTGCTGTAAAACAGGTTCTGGTTCTGTTCTGGACTCAGGATCAGTTCCTCACATCGTCTGTAAACTCAGCTCCATGTACCGTCCTCTAATTAAGATCAAAGCTCTATCAGACAAATGAGAAGCCACCATCATTAAAAAACGGACCGAGGAGAACTGTTCTGTGGTCCGATGGATCCAGATCTGAAAGTTTTATTTTTTTAAAGAGGAGCGTTGCTGAAAGTGGATCCAGGAGGACCAGCATGTTTTTTTTTTAACATTTCTGTGGTAAGTTTCAGAGGCGGAGTCGTGCTTCAGATGAGGTCTTTAGTTGCTGCTTCCATCTGGTTTCCATCATCTCTGCTCTGCTCGGAGCACAGAGCCCACCAGGGACTGGAAACAGGGTGGGGAGTGAAGCCGGAGGAGGAGGAAGTGCAGACCAGCGTCCCACGGGCTGCAGATCTAACTATAGACATATTTCTCTGTAGATGACACGTTGTTCTGCTGTAACACAACTCTCTGCTTCCTGTAGCATCGTTTTTTTTTTCTGCCTCTAAACTCTGAACCGTTCAGGGATGTAAGATGTGGAAATGATTTTAGTGTYGAACTGTTTCTGATGAGCGAGGAGTTCAGATAAAAGCTTGGATTTGATCAGATAAACTGATTATTCAGCATATTAGACCGTTTATATCTTTAGTTTCATCACTTTTTGAGTTTCACAGTTATTTTGCTGTTTTTAAAATGCAGGTTTTGTTTTTATTAATTTTTCAGAGTTTGGAGAAACTTTAGTGTTTCTAAACTTTTTTCCGTCTTTGTGTTTCTAAAATATTTACTTATTAATTATTTTACCGTGTCCTGTCCGTCAGTGTGAAACTCAGAATTAATATGTGAGTAAATGAAGCCCAGCAGTTTTACTTTCACTACTGCAGCATCGTGGTGTTTCACCACCATGCTCCACTTGATATAAATTAAAACCTTTTATTCTAAATTCTTTTGGGATTAATTCGTAGCGGACACCGAGACGGAAAAAAGTAAACAAAGAAAAAAAGGAGAAAAGTTAAAAGAAAGAAACTGAAAYAAGAAGATATRAGAGATGCATGAAGAAAACACAAAACAACACATTTGTAGTTTGACTTCACACCTGCAACAAGAGAGAAAACAAAAACACCACAACAAATATATGTGTGTATAATATTAATA